TGTTCTTTTGGTTGCTTTTGTTGTTCTTCCAAGACAGAAAGTGTAACAATAACTTTTATAGCTTTTATAACTTTTTAAATATGTAAATATATACATACAATATATATGTAATATGCAATATTACATATATGATATATATATATTTATATATATTTATATTATAACCATATTATTATGTATATATATGTATATATATATATATATATATATATATATATATATATATATATATATATATATATATATATATATATATATATATATATATATACATATACATATATATATAAAATTTACTATATATATATATATATATATATATATATATATATATATTATAATATATATATATATATATATATATATATATATATATATATATATGTATATATATATATATATATATATATATATATATATATATATATATATATATATATATATATATATATATATATATATATATATATATATATATATATATATATATATATATATATATATAGTAAATTTTTAACAGACAAAACTAAAAAGTCAAATATTCTTGATTAAGTCAAGTTTAGCTTTCAATACGATTTTTAACTTCAACTGTTTATTTAACACGTTCACGCCGGCATGTACCACCGGTGGTACACACTAGACTGTCTCATTGGGCAGCGTGTACCACTGGTGGTACACACTAGACTGTCTCATTGGGCGGCGTGTACCACCAGTGGTACACGCCACCCAATGAGACAGTCTAGTGTGTACCACCGGTGGTACACACCGGCGTGAACGTGTAAAGTAATTTTACTAACATAAAAAAACAAAAATTAAAAAAAAAACTTATTACTTCACCCAGGATGATGGCATCCCAAAGTATAACTGTTTGTTTTATATCAGTTGAAAAAGAACTTATCCGCTTTAATAACTTAGGTGCTATGCCATATGTTTCAAATTTTTATAATAATCTGGACCACAATTTATCAAAGGCTTTTTGTGAAACCAGTGTAATGGATATCAAATGATTTGTGATACCTGATGTTACCTTATCCATAAATTCTAATAGTATAGTTGTTTTTTATTTTTTGTAACATTTTTTTTTGTAATTTACTTCCTAAGGCTGAAAAGGCAACTGCAGATGAGGTGGCTACTTGTGGATATAACCTTCTCTTAACTGTGTAACTCCAAAATACAAACCTTGACGAACAAGACTACTGCACAGAGAAACGTTGAGCATGGTACTACCAGGGACATGGGGTGAATTGAACTGGGAACTTCTCACTTATTAAACAAGCGCTCTACCACTACAACCCTACTGCAAACTATTTATTTTTTGTAAAACTATGCTTATGAGACTATAAATTGTTGACATTCAAATGATGTAAGTTGTTTAGGTATTAGACAGTCTAAAACATTAAAAAAGCATTTACAGATTCTTTTAATTGGGAAGGGTGAATCCCATCTGATCTGACCGATTTTCTTGTTTTTAAAATAAATATCATGTTAGTAACTTCAGTCGAGGTAATATTAGTCAAATATAGTGTATTTAAACACTTTTTATTAGATTTAGTGAATGTCACTATTTGATTTCTATGTTACTATCTTCTATAAATACTGACTAAAAATATTTAAATATCTAAAATCTGCTTTTGGTTGCTTATGACATACCTTAGAATCTTTATTTGATGTTAAATAATTTTTAATTTTTTTAGGGGTTTTTATATAATTATGCAGCATAATTATACTAAAAGTTTGTTATTTTGGTTTGATTTTTTTTTTCAAGCTTTGTGTTTTTTATTGGTTTCAAATATCCTGTATCCTTTAAGGTATCAAATATGCTGTATTTATAGCTTTATTATTTACATTATAAATCGTTTCAAGTAAAAAAGTAATAAACTTTGAACAACCGAATCAAACATATGGGAGATCTGTGTATCTATGGCTCCATGTATGGGTATGTTGTACATGGGATGCATATCACATAAACATTATAAATACGATAACATAAACCAAATAGTATTTAGAACATTCCTATAAAAGTTATGTTACTCATTGGATTGGTAGTACTAATTTTTATTTTTCATTTAAGTTTTCATAATTGCATGTAAAGTTTTTGTAGTGATTTATCATTTAAAAATGTTGTTTATGGTATGAAATAAATAATGACCTTCAAGTATAATACTTTTAAATTTGTGCAGAAACTTAAAAATAATAAATGGTCAACAAAGTTTTTCGTTTTAAGTTTTATATAAAATCTAGTTATATCTGCATCTACAGTTACTTTGGCAAATTCAAGACTGCCGAAGTAACAGTAGACTTGGAATTTCTTTACACCTTCCAATTTTTCTTTTATTTGTTTAAGACGCTTCCCCACTAGACCAGAAAATTGTTTTATTTTAAAGACATATGACTGAAGTAAATCATTAAAACAATTGTAATGTAGCATTACATCAATTATTACAAACCTTCAATCTAGTTTTCAACCTTGTTTAAAACCTCACCCAATTCAAAACCTTTTAAATCTAGTTCAAAAAGATTATAAAAATGAAAAAAAAAAACAAAATTTGTTAAAATCTTAAACAGACATTTTTATTTTAAACCTGTTCAACAAGGAGTTGATAGAACTAAAACTATTTGTAAACACTGCATAGCTAAATTATTAGTATCACTTAAAAAGTATCACTTAAATGTAATGTACACTGTTGATGGCAGTAAGTCATCCACACAAACAAACAGTGGAGGAAGGCTTTGGCAGACTACATTGAATACAGTATGTGGGAGAACTATAGAGAAATAAAAGAGTTACAAGATAACAAATGCCATTGCAATATGGGTAGCTACAAACTGCAGGCCAATTAGTATTGTGAAAAAATGTTTGCCTGGAGAAAGTTATTAGAATCACAACAAATGACTGCATGTATGAGCCTCTGCCAAAATGCACTTTTACAAGAAATTAAAATGAATTGTATAAAAAGGAGAGGGCTATAAAAACAATGACGATACAATGTGTACAAATTGTTGCCCTCACTATAGATATTGCAAATAAAGTCAGTTCATTTAGCGCAGATAGTGCAAGAAATATGATCGCTGCTGCAAGACATCTGCCTCTTGAATGCATCCTTTGCGTTGCACATAGTCTCAAGCATTCTGTCACAGTATCTTGACACAATAGCAGGTTTGACAACGCCCTGGTCAAATTCAGAATGGTGGTGAGTCTTTTTAAACACAGACTAGCAAGTACTGCAGAATTAGAACAAAAACAAATTGAACTTGGACAAAAAAAGGAGTTGCTTATACAAAACATTCCAACCAGATGGAATAAACTCTAGACATGATAAAAAGTGTTAGCAGAAACGAACAGCCACTGAGGAATGTCTTCACCACACACAACACAAAGATTGCTAAGCCAACATAAGCTGAAATGCACAAATTGCAGAAGTAGAAAAAGCTACTGGAGCCCTGCAGGTATATTTTATGTCATATATTTCTCACTAAATGGTCTGGTTGCATGTATAAGAGAATTAATGCGTCTGTATGTGTGTATATAAGCATAAATTTGATAACATTTTTTGTGTGTTTAAGTGGATTCAAAACACTTATAAACTCAAGTATGTAAGGTTTGATTTTTTCCAGATATGTAACTAACCTTCTGGGTGGAGAAAAACGTTTCATGCTCTATGGTTCTACCTGCCTTTTGTTATCTTTTAGATAACGGAGAGCTCAGTTGATTACCCTGTATATGTGGTTAAGTTCAAGTCTACATTCAGTACAGACCTGGATGCTTGCAAGGAAAATGCCAAATTGCATTTCTAAAGATTGCAACCGCATTGGAGCCAAGATTCAAATATATATATATATATATATATATATATATATATATATATATATATATATATATATATTTATATATATATATGTATATATATTTATAATTATATATATATATATATATATATATATATATATATATATATATATATATATATATATATATATATATATATATATATATATATATATATATATATATATATATATATTTATATATATATATATATATATATATATATATATTAGTGTATGTGCCAATAAGAAAATAACTTTAAATCTCAATAAAAATAAATAAAAAATTAACATGAATGATGTTTGAAGAAAATATACCTTATCACTAAGTTTGCTGAAGTAGACTTTTTTGATTTTTTGTTTATGAAATTATACTAATTTTTGTGTTTAATTATGTTTGGAAAAAATAACTTTGAAGTTATTTATATATGTTATTATATAAATATATCTTTTCTAATGTGTTTATTTTTTATTTACTTTGAACATTTTATATTTAAAAATCTATTGTTATTATTAATTAGATCTGTTGATGAGTCAGAAAAAATTAAACTTCTTCAATCTGATAATAATGATGATGTGCAGAAAAATGGTGAAATCTCTTTAGTAAAAGAGAATATATCAAAATTAAAAACGAATACAAAGTTTGATTCCAAAGATGAAACAGAATCAGAATTAAAATATGGAACAGTTTCAAAGTTTAGAGAAGAATCAAGATACAAAAAGTTGTTAAGGTATGTTTTAGTATAGTGAAATAATTTTTAAACATTTCTAAATCAATATTACAAAAAACATTGCTACTTGATTTATTTGTAGAAACAAAAACTTTATCCTTTCAATATCTCTATATGGAATGTCTACAATGACAACTGGTGGCTTTGATGATTTGTTTCCAGTCTTTGCTGCTACAGATGTTAAATACAGTAAATGTTTTTAAACAGAAAAATAAATCTTGTTGATAATTTTTTAATGGAATAAACAAGTTGTAAAAAAATAAATTAACCAAAAATAACTTTGAACAAATATTTAGATGGTTTAAGCATGAAGACATCAGATATTGGAACATTATATTTTGCCACTGGATTAACTGTGGTTGTAATTCAATTTACAGTTATTACAAAGGTAAATATTAATTTTAAAAAAAACATAGTTAAGATAAGTAGGGAAAAAATAGAATATAAAAAAACAGGTCAAAAAATAATTAGTTTTTTTGTATTGTATAATAATATTTTTGCTTTTAGTTTTCTATTAATAATGTTGTTTTTATCATTTTGCTATTTTTCAAATATTTCATTTTAACTAGTCACAATCAAATATGCATTTAATAATACGTCTATTGAATGCATTTTTGTGTATACATTTTTATAAATACTCATGAGCTTATAATGGTTTGAATTTAAATGATTTTCATCAGCCTGTAATTAATAATTACAATGATCAGCTTATAATAAAAGGTACAAGCTAATTAAATGAAAACGAAACTGTGGATATCTTGAATGTTATTGAAAGTGTTTCCTAATCTTAGTAATATTTTATGCTGATTTCAAATCTAAAAACCGTTTTGTTGTATCAGGTCAAATTTTTAAGATATTGTCGAATATATACATAGAAATATATATATATATATATATATATATATATATATATATATATATATATATATATATATATATATATATATATATATATATAAATATATATATATATATATATAAATATATATATATATATATATATATATATATATATATATATATATATATATATATATATATATATATATATATATATATATATATATATATATATACTTAGACATATACATATATATATATATACATATATATTATATATATATATATATATATATATATATATATATATATATATATATATATATATACATATATATATATATATATATATATATATATATATATATATATATATATATATATATATATATATATATATATATATTTAAACATCTTCACTTCCAACAAGGCTGCAAGCAACCACTAATTAGTGTTGGAAGTTACTGGAAGAGAAAAGATGAAGATTGTAGAGCAAGATAACGATTGACAGATGACTTAAAAGATTGCAAGTTATATGAATCAGGAAAGCAAGATGAAGAACTGAATTCCAAAGAACTGATGTTCGAAGAAAAAAACTAGACGAATAAGAGTTTTTAAAACACTTGGGAACAGTAACAGAAAAAGGATGAGACTTAATTGAATGTCGAGTAACACAAGAATGAATTTTAGTAAATGGCACAAGAGATGCTAGCTCTTCAGAGCAGTGCCCATTATAGTATTTGTAGAAAAGAGAAAGAGAAGCAACATTACAATGATGTGACAGAGGTTGAAGGTTGGCTGCAAGAGCAGGTCCAACTATGTTTACAATGCGTTTTTGCACCTTGTCTAAAAGAGAAAGGGCATCATTAGAAGATTCGCCCCAGATATGGCAACAATATTCCATACAAGGCAGGATTTGAAATTTATAGAGATAGAGACTAGAATCCGGAGTAAGAAAGTGGCGAGCTTGATAAAGAGAAGCAACTTTAGCAGATGCTATATATGTATATATATGAATATATATAAATATATATATATATATATATATATATATATATATATATATATATATATATATATATATATATATATATATATATAAACAGCGTTATGATGTTGTACTGTTTAATTGAGAAATTTAATTGCTAAATTATACTTTACTTCCTCTGTATTCATTGCAGGAACATAAACTTAATGTGGACATAAAAAAATAAAAGTTAACGTGGTGATTCACTCAACATATGTCAATCATAGGATTTGTAAATCATTAATAAGTATTAAAAAAGCATACAAACACTACTTCTAAGGTAGATTGTGGTATATTGTGAGCACCCAACTTTATCTGTTTAATGTGCTCATGCAACTTGCGTGGTTGGATCAGGAAGACAATAAAACAATTTCATGGCATTTGAAATTACTATGATATTGTGTGAGCAAACCAATCACTCAACAGGTTTTTATTTTTGTATGGCAAAAATTAAAAATTAATGATTATCTTGTCACAATCAACTTTGGTTGATTGTGACAAGATAATCATGCCACTGTTTCATAATAAGTTAAGGCTTATGAAAAATTTTGAGATTTTAAATCTCAAAATTTTTATGAAACTTTTGAGATTTTAAATTTATTAATAGTATAATTATTTGAAGAATTTCAAGTTTATTTGAATGGTTGACAAGTTTCACTATTAAAAAGCAAAGTGTTTTCTCATAAAAAAGAAATAGTTAATTAAACACAATAAAATGTTCAATTATATAATGCAGCATTGCCAGATTTTTTTTGCGCTAAAAGGCCAAATGCTTGTCTAAAAAATGCCAAATAATGCCAAATTTTTTGAATAATGCCAAAAAAAATGCCAACCTTAAAAACAGTAGAAGAACTTTATAAAAATACATTGAACCCCTTTTATTAACAATCTATTCAATAAAATTAATATATAAGTCATATTTTCATCAGTTTTTACATATTTTTTATATATTTTTCAATTTAAAAAAATGTCGTTTAACAAATTATTTATGTATTTCTTAAATAAATAAGTATATCCACTCAACTTTCAATTTAATATGTCTAATGTTTAAAAAGATGAGTTAAAGAAAATTTCAGATCAAATTCTGTTGAAAGAATAATAAAAAATGTCACGATATTAAACTTCTTTCAGTTAATATCATCAATTAAAGTGAGGTCATCTTGGACTAATTCATCATCATTAAAATACATGTCCGTTCCCAATTTTGCTAACATTTTGTCAGTGATTTTAAAGTTTTTACAACATTTGTTGTTGCTAGCTAGGTAGAATTTTACTTGCACTACACTGCTGAGCAATTTTTCTGACATTCTGCCTCTTGATTTGTTTTTAACATAAGTGACCTGAGAAAAACATAACTTACAAAAACGTTTGATATACTAAGAACAAGACAAGTTAAGCAATAGTCTGCTGCTCATTAAGGGGATTATTTTTTCCATAAAGAGAAATGATTTCTCCAAGGTGATCCTTTGTTGAAATGGATACATGACAACACACGTAAAGAAGAAGATGAATATCTGCTTCACTGTCTGCTTTCTTTGATATTAAAGTTAACCTAATTTTGTGTTAAGATGCTTTTCTCCTGAAGCATGTCTAAAAGTATTACTGTGCTGTTCTACAGACGATTTCTATGGTTGTATCACGACAAAGGGTACAGAATGCTGATTCAGTACCATCAGAGCTTTTTTTAAGCCAAGGATAATCTGTTTCTTAGTTTGCAAGATACTTTCTTGAGTTTACCCTCAACATAGTGCTTAATGTTCTAATACAAATTAAATACAAACCGACTGAAAAAAAAATCAATTCAACACTTTTTTTAAAAATGCTAAACTTCCAAAATAATGCCAAAATGTCAAAAAATGCCAACATTTAAATAATGCCAATTTTACTAAATTTGGCATTAATCTATGCCAGATGGCATTAATTCTAAGAATTTCTGTTTCTAATTTAATGTTTAACCTGTTACTTAAAGCAAGATGTTTTGAAATAAAATTTCTTTAAAATAAAATACCTTTGTACGTTGCTATTTTGTTCTTATAAGTTCTTTTTAAGTAATATAACTTAAATAATATAACTAGAATTATTTTTATAGATTGTTGCCAGGTTTGGTGCAAAAAAGGTAAAGAACAGATATATTTTTTATCATAATAAAAATAAGTTTATTTATTTATTAATAGTTTTTTTTAGTTTCATAAGTTATATCTGTTATATTCAATTTATTTTTGTTTAGGTATTTTCTGTTGCTACAGTTCTTTTCAGCATTCAGATTTTTCTGCTTCCAACCACAAATAAGATCAAAAATAGGTCAGATATATATTTATTTAATTTTTTAGTTTTAGGTAAAATCATTTTTGCATAGTTAAATATTTAAAACCTCCATAAATAGTAGAGCTAACAATACACTGAAACAAAATTTAATTATAATGAAAATTGATGCCATTGTTGCAAAATAGTTTTTATTCCAATAAATTATGCAGATTTTATTTATTGGATCATTATATTATTTTAATTGATTTTATGATTTTAACTTAATACTTATTAACGTGTTTTGTTCTGAGCTTGGAGGCACAGGAATATTTACAAAAAAAGGTTGTTATATATCAAAGAGATTAAAAGCTTAAAAAATTACATAACAATAAAACTTTAGATTATTTGGGATGTGGCACTCCAGAACCTTTTACTCATAAGTCTATGTTTACTTAGCATTGTCAAAAACATTTTGATTAGTGATACTGTCTATGATATTGTTTGTAAAGATCCAAGTTTGACTAAGCATGATATTGCTGATACCATCTCTGACATCTCAGATTTCATATGAAAAAGCTATTCAAAGAGTTAGGTGCCACATTCTTAACAATTAAACAAAACTGAATTGAAAAAAATTTTCTCAGCGTAAGATTGGAATGTTTTAAGCTGAACAAACTCAATTGGGTTTTTATAACTATGAACAAGACTTTTTTTATAAGACAGAACAAAACTGGACACCCATTAGATTCATCGGATTTCCTCAGACTATTACCTCTTTAAAAACTTTATTTCTTTCCTGGAAACACCTTAATGGAAAGCGTTTTAGATCAAGTAAAAAAGCTATTGAAGTCACGGAACAGTACTTTGCAGAGCTTCTAGAAAATCATTACAGAAATGGTATAAAATTATTGGAGTATCGTTGGAGTAAGTTTTTGAATTGAATAAATGGAATAAGTTGAGGTAGAATATATTAAATACAATAGAGTTTTATTAAAAAGTACGCATTCTTTCATTTTTGCTTTTAAAACAACAATCCTGTGTTTGGTTGTAAAAATAAGAGTTTAACATGAATTGCTTGCAGCATAACTTTTCCTTTTTAGATATATCGCCAGCTTTTTATGTCCATATTTTGGAGAGTGTCAAACAGATAATCCAACAATGCCTTTTTTTATGCAAAAACCTGGAAATATATTGGATAGATTTTTATTGCAGTTGGTTGTTAAATCTTATGTTCTTTTTAAATGTGTCTCTGATGTTGACTTGTTAAAGTCAACATCAGAGTCACATTTAAAAAAAAAAAATCAATTTTTCAAAGTTCATAAGAGATATATATCTATTTCAAATTTTCAACTGAGAAAGAACTTCATAACATATTATATAAAGCTTAAGTTTACAGATGTAAAAAATTTTATAAAGGAAGCTGTAAATATAGCAGTTGTCTTATTGGAGTATGTACTCAATAAAGTTCATTGCATTATTGTAAAGTAAATAATTCAATGTGTTTGATCCAAGTTTACTATCTTATACATCACTAGTCTTACTAAAAAGTTAGTTACTCATATCACTGAAGACCACATTGCCACATTAGCAGAGAAAGTTTTGTCACAACAATTTGGATCTTTTAGCAGTGGTATCTTAAAATTTTGAAATAGTAAAATTTCTTATTTACTAGAGCATTCAATTCAATGACTTCTTTTTCATAAATTTGCTGATATTACAGAGGAATTAAAATCTGTTCAAACAACTTTCAAGTCATGGTCAAGCAAGTGTATTTAATGGTAATAAAATTTCAACCAAAGTTAATTTGAGGAAGAAATTGGTGATAGTAGGTTATATAAAAAAGAACAACCTGATACCTTTAACAATTGAACTAAAAAACAAGTGTGTAAAGTCTGTAAACGGTTACATTCTTTAGCTAAAGTTGTTAGTTAGTTTTTAATTAGAAGAAAAAGAATGCTGCGCAAGATGAATACAACCATCAGTTTAATGTTTTATCTGCAAAATTCAGAGATGTAGAAAAAAAACTGTTTCTTATTGGTTTCTTGTAAAAACTTAGATATTGAGTTTAATAATGCTACCATTAAGACAGAAGAAAAGAATTAAAAATTTAAAAAGTACTTAAAGAAAACTGTACAAAGATAAAGAACAAAAAAAAGGTATTAAAATTAAAGAATTAGATAAGACGGTCAAGTTTTTTAAGGAAAGAAATTAAAAGTTTTTTCAATAAAAGAGAAAAAGTAGAAGTTTATGTGAAAATATATAGTTTTTAAATATAATTTTTTTTTAAATAAATAATTTATAATATATATTTTTAAATTATTTTCTCGTAACTGTGTTTTTCTTTACAAAAAAATTTCACTTAGTTTTAAACTTTTTTACTTGATCTTTTTGTAATGTCATAAAATATCTATTGTACATATAAATTATACGAACATATAATAATAAAATAAATCGTTTAACTTAATATTTTTTTTTAAATTAGTTGTTGTGAGGTGTAAATGTCATATATAATATTTCATATATCTTAAATAAAAAAAACATCAGCAAGTAATTGAGAGTACTTTTTTTCTAGAAGGTTTGTATAATCATTTTTAAATATAATTTAGATATTTTTTTTACTTGTTTTTACTTTTTGTGGTAGTTTAGGATATGTTTCACTAAAAATCTGTATAAATCATGTCTTAACAGAATTCTACTTTTAAAAAAACCTGCAAACTTGGAACCATGATCCAGCAACACACGATCTATAATTAGCAATGATCATCACACAAACTTCTTTTTCTACATTTTAAAATTTTATTATTTAGTTAAAGTGTCATGTTCATGACACAACTTTTTTTCAATTAGCTGTGTATTGAACAATCATCTATATAGTTCAGACAACAAATGGAAAGTAAACTTAAAAAGGGCTTTTTGGGAATTATAGGTTTCTTTGTGTAAAAGCATGAGATGATTTTTGTGTATGAAGTAAAAATTGTTCTTCAGTTTCATAAAGATATTTACTATGACAAATCTTTTATTGGTTACAATGATGTTACTGATGTATATATATATACAGTGACGCTCAAAAGTCAAATGACATTTAAAAAAAGTGAATATTTAGTCATTATTTTATGAATGAGAAAATATTTATGGGTAGAAAGTATTTAGTTTAATAGAAAACAAAAAGAATGTTTAAAATAAAAATAGAACAGCAGTCGATTAACGTTAGAACGATAAAAAATTTAAACAATAAATTTCAATCCTGGTATCAGTCAAAGTTTCACCGTGTGTTATCTCAAAAAAGTTTATTTTGTCAATATGCTGTTCAAAACAAATAGTGACATTTAAAATGCTTATTTAAATTATTATTTAACTTAATTAAGCCATTATTCTGCTTATTTGATTAACTTACCGGTGGTTATATATTAAAAAACACTTGTCATTTATATTTTTTGCTATTTTTGTAATACTTTTAAAACGTAACTGTATCTCAAAGAGAATTATGCAATATTTTACTTTCCATTTTGGTTTTTGATTGCAATACAGCAGTTTTTCACAAAATATACGCCTGTATATATATATTATATATATATATATATATATATATATATATATATATATATATATATATATATATATATATATATATATATATATATATATATATATATATATATATATATATATATATATATATATATATATATATATATATATATTATATATATATATATATATATATATATATATATATATGTTAGGGTGGTTTTTTATTATACGGAATTATTACTTTTATACGGAATAATAAATTTTTTTGCAAAATGATAATGGGAAGTGGTCATCCAAACCTTAGTTGGGAACCCTAAATTTATCAAAATTTGTCTAAAAACTTATTCTTGTAATTTTATTTTTATTCCATACTGCTATAAATTGATCTAAAAACAAATAATATAAAGTATTATAATTTTACAACATAGATAGTTCACAGAAGACTGGAAAGTACAAGCAAATTTAGATTTATCCCCTCAGCATTATTTACCAAATATACCAAAAAAAAAATTGCTCCTAAATGCGTATTTTGATTTCAATTTTGAAAAATATAGGGAAAATAGGGGGTGGGGGTATTATTTAAGGCAATTGTTTTGTTATTTGACTTTGAGAATTATATATTTCTTAAATTTCTATTATATTCTTTCTATTATAGTAAAAAAGTATACAAATATTTCTTAAGAAGAGGGCTGTTTCAGACAAAGCAACATACTTAACTATTAATGTTTGGCTAGTTGGACATATTCTCTCAATAATAGATGGGCCGAGTCAGTTGCCAACAAGTAGTATTGCCCTATGAAGAGTATTTTATGAAATTATAATCAAAAAGCCAACTCTTTCAATATCCTGCAACACAGTTGCAGATGAAGTTATGATTTTCTGGCTTAAGGCTAATATTTCAACTATAGCAAAGCTTCATGTAGTTGCTAAACTAAAGAGTATTCACAAGAAACATGTTTAAGAGTCTAAGCACAGAAGTAGAAAATCAGCTGCTCAACATACCTATCAAGAAAAATTCACTGCAAAGATAAATACACTTTTTAATATTGCCCATGGCATGAATGGTATTGTCTCATTAAGATAAATAGAAACAATTTCTGATAGACCAGAGAGGTTCTCGAAAGATGTTAATGACATCAGAAGACTTAATGTATAAAAAAGCAGTTGTAAAATACAGAAAACGCAAGTTTGAAGAGAAAAGGCGCTGTAAACAATATAAAGGAAGTTAAGTTATATCTACAGATACATTAATGGATCCCAATTCAGATAACTCTTTGCGTGAAAATTGTTTTTCTGATGTTAGTAGAATCAGATGTGAATGTCTGTCAATTATTGTATTTGTTTTAATTAGTGAAAAAATTATCAGGGATCCCTGAGATACCTGATGGTACTGGCACTCTAATGGGACAAAAATTAGTTAAGTTCATTTATGAATGGCCTGGATTTGAAGGGCATCTTGCAGGTCTTTGCTTTGACACAACTGCAGGAAGTCATTGTGGGGTAATAACTGTCATACAAAAGTCAAAAAATCAAAGAGTTTTGTTTTTAGCCTGTCAACATCTTATTCTTGAAATCTGTGCAAATGCAGTGTTTGATTTGTTTGTACCAAAAGGACCAAATATTGAATATTTTGGTAGAGTGAAGTCCTAGTGGGAGCTAATAGAAAAATTAAAGTTGAAAGTAATAAAAGTAGTACTGGGTGCCTTACAAAGTTAGAAAAAAAGTGGCTTGTATTTGGAAAATCTGATGTGGTGGAAAATATGAAAAAATACTTAAAGGAAACGCAACCACACGATGATTATAAAGAATTTGGAATACTAGCTCTTCTTCTTATGGCAGAAAGCACCAAAAAATGTTTTCCTTTTTTTAAAAGTAATCGAGAACTATTGTCAAGTTGACATCAAAGTTGCAAATGCTGCAAAAAATAAAGTTAAACATTAGTTATGGTATTTAAGTGAAGATCTAGCTGCTCTCCCATTATTTAGTAATAAAATTTCTGTTGATAAGAAAATGGAAATTGTAAATGTCTTACAAAAAGAACCATTACCAGATGGCATTAGAAGACTTGCTCCAAACAAGATTTATATATTCTCTAAATTTTTTATAGTTAACTAAAATGACGCTCAATGAATTTGTTTGGCTAAAACTAGGGCTAATTGTGATGACTACAAGTCTGCTTGTAAGATAGTTCGTGCCATGAAAAATGACAGTCAACCTAAGCTTCTCTACCAGGTAGTTGAGTATCATAGAAAACATTTTTCAACTGAAGTTACAAAGAAACAGTTGAGCAATAATCATTCCAAATAACAACAATTTAATCTGTATGAATATGCATATATATATATAAATAATATAAACTAAATATATAGTTAAACACATTATAATAATATTAATATTAAGCTATTGTTTTTCTGTTATATTTTAATTTAGTTATATGTCAAGGTTTTATTAAGTATGTTATTTCATCCAAATAGTTTAAAAACATGTTATTTGTAATATGTTTTCTTAAACCCATAAAAAAACTTTTAATTTTTTTTAAAGTTTTATTTGAGTACAATATTTTTTCTTATTTTTAAAATTATAAATTTCAATTATGGCTGAGGTAAAAATGGCTGGTAGAGGGCACCATTTGGGGAATATGGGCCACTGGTACTTACAAGTAAAAAAACTGAAGAAATGTTAAAAAAAGGACCTTTTTTAAATACTTATAGCAGCTTTTTGTATCTTTACCCCCTTCTCCTTGCCCCAAGTTACCCCCGCTTTTATATTCATACACTTATTGTTACCCTAATATTTAAAACTGATGCATGTATCACTGGCAATAGTTTGTTTTAATACATTTCAGAAGTTTATCATTTTCAAAAAAAAAACAGGTCACAAAAAGGCTTAAGAAACAGGACCCAATCCTGGCACCCTAAAGGCGGGGTGTTGGAATAAGCCGCTGCTATATACATTTGTTTTATTGTTATCAGCCTAATAAGTAAAACTGATGTATCTATCACTGGCACAAGCTGATTTCCGAAAATTAATTTTAAAAAAGTCTAAAAAACAGGTCCAGGACCTATCATTCTTAGGGTGGAGTCTGGGAATAGGTATATACATTAAAATAATTTTTATAAATCATTGCTATTTACATTCTTATAATTTTTATAAATAAAACTGATGTATTTAACTCTGACTCTAACTGATTTTAATACATTTTAGAAATATGTCATTTTAGACGAAATTGGGGTTCTAAAGGGGTTACAAAGCAGGTGTGGGGGATCACTTTACATCGTCAGTTTGCAAAAAAAATTATCTGTGAGCTTTTTCTATCGAACCTCATCAAATAAGAGGGTGTGCAATATCAAATTCAGAAAAACAAAAAAAAACCACCCTTATATATATGTATATATATATATATATATATATATATATATATATATATATATATATATATATATACATATATATATATATATATATATATATATATATATATATATATATATATATATATATATATATATATATATATATGTATATATATATATATATATATATATATATATATATATATATATATATACATATGTATATATAAATATATATACATATGTATATATATATATATATATATATATATATATATATATATATATATATATATATATATATATATATACATATATATATATATATATATATATATATATATATATATATATATATATATATATATATAATATATATATATATATATATATATATATATATATATATATATATACCACATATTCTAATATGTGGTGTACTAAACTATTATTATAGCTATATAATAAATGTTGTTTTTAACACAAAACATCTACATAAAACAATTGGTTTTGTTTAAACAAACTATTAATTTAAATGTTTTTTGAGGTGGACGTCTAGAAAAAAAAAAATTTGTTACTAAGTTTATTTTATTTTACAACATAAAGAAGTTATATTTATATTGCAAATAATAAAAAAAAAAACTTCAGCATTAAAAAGTTTTTTAATGCTTAGCTAAAATATTCTTAAAACATCACTTTCTTGGACTTTGCATGCATTTTTGTGTGCATGCAGAGTATATACAAAAGCAGTATGTGAACCAGTAAAAAACTTTCAATTATTTTTTGATTAGTAATGGTAGGTAAACATATTTGGGGAATTTAAAAAAAATTAGCATAATTACTTAAAATTTAAAGTAATATTATGACAATTATTGAATATGTTTGCTGCTTTTATGTATGTATTTTAAAATTTCTTTTTTAAAAATACATTTATTGTAACTAAATAAAAAAATGAGTTGTTTTATAAAGCATGTTTTTTTTATAATTGTATATTCCAGAACTTTCCTATGGGTTGCATTATGGCTCACTCAATGTTTAATGAGAACAACATATAATGCTGGTGTTATGTGCGTGAATATATTTATAAATAATTCAGTTGATTCTGAACAACTTGGAGTGGCAAATGGGTTAGCTTTATCAGTATCATCGATTGGAAGGTAGTTTTTGTAATATTTTGTTTTGTTGCAATTTTTTGTAATTGGTTCTAGTTATAGTATGTATATAAAGTATGTGCATTTAACACTGTTATTTCTTCCATTTTTACTCTGCTTTGTGTGATATTTCTTCCGTTTTTAAAATTTTTTTACTAGGAAATAAAAAGCAATATTTATTTTTTATGTTACAACCTTTGTTTGTTAAAATTTTTACCTGATTTAAATATTTTCAGTAACTCATTATAATGATTGTCACAATTTTTTTTTTTTATAAAAAAAAGTCTTGTGTAGTATTTCTTCCATTTTTTAAAAATTTAAAAATGGAACAAATACCACATAAAGCAGAGTAAAAATGGAATAAATAATAGTGTGAAATGCACATACTTTAATTACATTCTATAGCTAGTACTCAACTTTAATAATTTTTTTAATATTTCAATAATTTAATAATTTATTAATTTTTGTAATATTTCAACCAAATACTTAATAATGCTTAAAAAAAAAGTTTGAATTGTGAGTTTTTAAATGTAGCCCCTAGGTTTTCCATTGTTATCTTATGACTTTTATGAACGTTATGACAATAATAATAATCTATGATTCTATAAATTTTAAGTATTTATGAATATTAAGTATCTTTATAAAATGAAAATCTATGAATATTAATCTATGAATAATAATAATATCAACAAAAATTTTTAGTTTAAGCTGGTGTGCTTTATAAAAATAATATACTTAATGACTACTTGTTATTTTAACATATTTATGTTGCCTTAACATTATTTACTGAAACTTTAATTTCATTTTTATATATAAATATAATTACTTAAGTAGAAAAAGAATTTGATCAAATACTCTATATTTCTATCTTCCTTTTCATTATCTGACTCCATCATTTTCTAGTCTAAAAGACATTGGTCAATTATGTTTTTTTTTTTAAAAAAGTGAAAGAGGTTTTAGAACAACATACCATCAAACATGACAACATCATTTTAAAGGTATGAATTAAGATAACAGCCTATATGTAGTTAGCATTTTTTAGGTAAAACATGCTCATCAACAGGGTCATCATTTAGGCAGCTGACTTGTAGATTTGATTTTGAAGTTCTGAGTTTGATTCCCACCACGTCTCTGGTATGGAACCTTGTTATCCATGCAGCAGTTTTGTTTTTTGACCGCAGTGGCTCTCTCAGCCTTAGAGAGGTGAATAACATTTAAAAAAGATAGCTTTATGATTTAATGACTGTCATTGGAGGATTTCGATGCCTATTCCTGAAAGCTGAAAACTTTGTTGCTCTGTGAAGTGACAGTTTGAAGCTTCCTTTTTTTTATATTTTCATAGAATAATGTCATCATCCTTTAAAATATTTTTATTGTTGATTAAGTTTGTGCTATTTTTGAAACAATCAGGTAATTCCTTTAGATCTTCCTATAGAAAACTTTGTGTGATTTATTATGGTACTAGCAATTTTGCCAGCAAAACAACCGGAATACCTAATCTTTGCTTTCAATTTGCAATTTACAACTTGTATTGTGTGATAATTAGCGCAATTAAAAAAAAAGGGTGACAATGAAAAATGATTTTAAAAACAATACAATTAAAACTTTGAAATTATAAAGATTAAATTTCAGCCATATTGAATTTCAGTCATATTGAATTTCAAAATGTGTCAAGTCACAAAAATAAAATTTTTTATTCCACATCTAAAATTTATGATGATTTATTGAAATCAAGAAAAGTATTATGAACTGATTACTGGAGAATGATGTTGCTGAGGAGTTTGTTTGTTCCAATTTAATGGCTATTTTTACTAATGAAAGCATAGAACTAGTGGAATTAATTAATAAGATTAGTTATTTATTTTCAAAGAAATTGATGTTTAAAAGTAGGACATTGCAACATGGATTAGTGATGAAGAATCGTCTACAAACTCAAGATTCCAAGATTTTATCAAAATACTTGGTCAACCATGGAGTAAAGTGAAATGCATAGAAAACAATATTGTAATATTGTTATTAGTAAGTGCTTCCAAAGTAAAATAGATAAATAACGCATTTACCTTACTTTCAAATCTACAAACTCCTACAAAGTCTACAGATCAATTTATATATATATATATATATATATATATATATATATATATATATATATATATATATATATATATATATATATATATATATATATATATGTATATATATATATATATATATATATATATATATATATATATATATATATATATATATATATATATATATATATATATATATATATATATATATATATATATATATATATATATATATATATATATATATATATATATATATAAATTAGTAGAAAATAACTTCAAAACTTTTAGTATCACAAAAGATGAAATTGAAAACTTTGAAAATGTGATTTTTGTATTATAGAAAAACAAATTTAATCTGGTAATTATTGGTGCAATCCAATGAAAAATTTAGTAGTTATTTTGTTTGCCTAGTTAATATAAATTTTAGTTGATAAAATAAGTGGTTGTTGAGCAATTTAGGCATCCAAAATGAACTCTGGCCCACTGTACATTGTTTAGAAATATTGTTTTTAAAAAGTACCATTTTCAAGTGCAGGGCCTGTATAGATAGATATACGTAATGAAAATTTTATTAACAAATTTATAACTTTAAGAAAGGGTCCAGGTCAAGTATTTTTTTTCTATTCATTATATTCAATGATATCATTTTGAAGGTCCATATTTTCCTTAAATGGTTACATTTTATAGCTCAAATTTTTGTCTAATAACAACTTTTTAGCAAGTTAAAATATTAATAAATTTACAATATTATATATATATATATATATATATATATATATATATATATATATATATATATATATATATATATATATATATATATATATATATATATATATATATATATATATATATATATATATATATTTGTGTGTGTATATAAATTTTCATAAATAATTGTAATAATTTCTAATAAATAATAATATAAATATATCTAATATAAATTTGTTTAGATCTCTTAGCTCTATAAGCGTTGGGCTTGCTTATTCGTGGTCTCTTAACAATGTTAAAAAAAGATCATCTAAAGAGAGCAGTCTTGGTTTTCCGTTCAACGAATATTTTGCTTTTATTATTTTGTCGTTTTTATCAATACTTATAACGGTTGTTGCTTCGTTTCTTCCTGAAAGTATAAATAAGAAGAAAATTCCTGAATGTATAACTAAGATAAAAATTCCTGAAAGTATATATAAAGAGAAAATACCAGAAGAAATTGAAGAAAAAAGCACTTTATAAAGTGCACACATAAATTATATTTTACTTGCAAGTATTTTTTTTTTTTATTATTAGAAGTAGGAAAAAAATATTGAACATATTAGAAATATTGTTTAGTTAACTTGGTAAGAGTGACTTTATTTGATTCCAAACGTGTCCTAAATAGCTTGTCTTGTTTCAAAGACTAGAAAGTTCTTGGTCACTTACTCCGTTTATATATTAGTATCATGTTATTTATAAAAACAAAGCGAATAAGTTTTATTACTTTTTACATTAATTTTCAATTTTTTTTAAATAAGACCTCGTTGTATAAGTACTTCTATAAACTCAGAAACAGTTCAGTTGTACAATTTTGCTAGTAGGAAAAAAAACTTGGTAGCGTCTGTAAATGAGTTATAACAAATTTTGATATATAAAAATTGTTAGAAAGAGTTTTAAAAACGCAACTTTAACTCGCAGAATGTTTTTTTAGGTTTTACCATCAAAGACAAGACAATATACTTAATTGAAGATATGATACAGAAATTATGAGTTTTTAGGATAGTTAAACAAGATAAAAATGATTATAAACCTGTAAGTTGTCGCTTTAATTTCGTGGGAAAAGTCAATTTCTTAGAAAACTTGGATTTTTTGGTACTCTTTCGAACAAAAACGAAGCAAAGCCTTTGTACTTGATGAAATGCCTTAAACCGTTTAGTTGCTCAAAAAAGTAATACTATTAAAAAAAAACTTAAAAACTTATCACGCGTTATTCACTAAAATGAGTGTTCGAACAAAGGATCTCTGTTTGAATACTTATCATAAACCAAAAATATATCTCTACTAATTTTGGCTCAGCGAAAAAAAGCTAATGTTAAGTTATTAACCACTATTAAGTTGAGAATAAGCAACCACTATTAAGTTGAGAGTTACTAGAAAACAAGAAATAGGTTAAAGAGTTAGGAAACTTTTTAGACAAGACTTATAAAGTTGTAGTCAGGAAAATATGAAGATGTGAGAGAGTTCCAAAAAGTTGAAGTGCTGGAAAAAACTACGAATAAAAGTTTTTAGAGCATGCAGGGACAGATACAGTAAATTAATGACTTAAGTCATTATAAAAAGTTTTCTTAAACGTAGTTTTAATTAGTTAATATTAAATTAAGCATTTGTAAGCACGAGCAATAATAATGGAGTTGAAAGATCATTGTGTTATTTGTCGATACACTATGGTCTGAAAGTCTGTTGTTGAATTGAATCCGTGTCAACATTTATTACACTGAATTCGCTTATATCTACTTCTGGAACAACCAGAACCACCTTGTCCATTTTGTAGACATGAAATACATACAACTGAACATGTTGAAAGAAAACATTATGTTTTATGGCGCAAACTTTAGGTGTCAAATCGAATTATTTTGTTCTCTCTCCACAGTTTTGAGTTTTGAGATAAAACGATTTGAAAAATAAAGACTTTAGGAGACAGCATATAAATTTTTTTTATAACAAGTTTTCTCGGCAACTTTTTTATTTATTCTTAGGTTTCAATAAAGTAGGAAAACATTATTTTGTGTTCTACACAACACTATCAATAACTTAACTTTTTCAAAAAGTGATGAAACAAGATGATTCTAATGTCGCGAAATATATGACAGCGTACCATTGGATCCGGAGCAGAAGTTTCAATTTCATTAGAAGAGGTGGTTTTAAACCAAAGAAATCAACTGATAATCAAATCGAAGAAATACTAACATGGATTGAAAGTGACTGTCAGTTGATTTTGATATAAAACAATTTAATATTAGCGTTATCACAACCACAGTTGCCTATTACCTTGAAGGCAGACCATTTTCATTAAAAAAGTGTACACGGATCCTACTAAAACCCAGTGGGCACATGACGTAAAAAAGACATTTTTTAAACGTCTTTCTAACGTTTTGGACGTCTTTTGACGTCTTTTGAATATTCAAAAGACGTCCTTTTTAGATCCTGTGCCCACTGAGATTGCATAGTAATTTGAACAAGCAAAAAAGAGCTGAATAAGTTAGGAACATTAACGCGCACATCACAAATGGTCATCTGATAATTTGGTCGGATGAAACAAATTCTAACTTTTTTTGTAGAAAAACGCAATTAGGGGAAAAAAGCAATAATGAAAATACCTTCTTCAAAAGGTACAAACATACATTTGCTTTTTCGCTTTATCAACAGCAAATGACATCTTATTTAACTGGACTAAAAGATGGCTTATCAGTTTTAATAAAGATAAATGTAAAATCATGCATTTTGGTTGTGATAATCCGAAAATAAAGTATAATTTAAAATATAATGCTACAGAAACAGAGATTATTCAACATGGACTAATAGTAACGTCATTGGAAAGAGACCTTGGTGTTTATATTTCAGACAATTTAAAATGGAAAGACCACATTGAAAAAATGGTAAGTAAGGCGAATCAAAAATTGGGTATGTTAAAGCACGCAATCCTCTATCCAGATGAAACATCAACAAAATTGTTATATATGTCACTCGTTCGGCCACACTTAGAATATGCTTTTCAAGTGTGGAACCCATATTTTATTAAAGATATAAACTTAATAGAAAAAATTCAGCAAAAAGCTACAAAATTTGGCTACAAAAAAAAGAAAGACAGTTACGAGCAAAGATTAGAGAAAATTGACTTACAAAATCTATCAAAGAGAAGGGAAAAAGGTGATCGTATCCAAATGTACAAATTCATGAACAAAATTGATACTATCAATTGGCATCGTGAACCAGAAGTATTGGGTAGGCTAACTAGAGGACACAATCAAAGGTTGCGAAGGCAGTATGTTCAAAACTTTTTGCCGAGGCATCATTTCTTCACTAACCGTATAGTTGAAAATTGGAATCGTTTGGACAGTGAAGTTGTTAACGCTAATTCAGTAATTGATTTTAAAAATAAACTTAAAAAGTTTAGCGAAAAACAGTTGTTAAAATCTAACATTTACAGTTGTTAGATTCTTTCTTGAAACTCTCAAGAACACAGCTTTAATTATTACTTATTATTATTACTTAATATCGTTATGATGGAATTTCGTAGAGGATCATTTAATGCAAATTTTTGTAATGAGTGGATATTGTTCTTTAGTAAGTTACATCCGGAAATTAACAGGTAACAGGCAATGCTTCATGTCACACTCTTTTGGAAAGGGTGTTTCAAAATTGACCAGTTTAGTTGTTATGTTTAGGACCTAACAGCTCAATGTTAAACCCGGTGGAAACAATTTGGTCTGGGATTAAAAAATTTTTTTAAATGGGAATCGAACCTGAACTCGGTGCTTGCATAGTGGAACAACGAATGCAGTATTTAGAAAAAATTGTTAGGAAATGACTTAGTATACTTAGTCATTTCCTAAGCGAGGTAGTGTTTAATGTTTTTGTAATTTGTACTATGAGTAATGTATATATGTAATGTATATATGCAATTTCTACTATGAGTAATGAAGGAGTCGTGAACTTCCTAGCCGAATGCTCTTACGCGGCGCTCTATGACAAGACCGTTACGTCTTCTTAGGGTACCTAAAAAACAAAAATTCAAAAATATCCTTTAAACAGTTTATAAAAAGTATCCTGAAAACAGTTATTTTAGTAAATAATGCGTTTTTTAGATCTTTTTAATAATATTATTTTTTAGGCAACTGATCTGATTTAGGCAGCCCATATATGGGCTGCCTAAATAAGATTAGTTGCTTAAAAAAATTATCTCAAAAAAAGAATTTTTGTTTTTTAGGTGCCCTAAGAAGACGTAACGGTCTTGTCAAAGGGCGCCGCGGAAGAGTATTTGGTTAGAAAGTTCATAACTCTTTCATTACTCGTAGTGCAAATTATGCCTAGAGCTCGCTTCAGGTCCTAGATCTCTTGCGTCTTAAGCAAGCGCTCTAATCATTGCGTCACGGCTGCTCACTTATCATGATACAATAATATAAATCCACTAGTTTTGGCGAAAAGTAATATATATACAACGTTATATTTTAATACAAAGTTTTTAACCAAAGTATTTAAGTTGCTTATTTATGAAAAAAACTTACGACAGCTAATGAAAAATACTTTTGCAAGTACTTGACATCATTTGCTGGATTATGCTTTAAGCTAATTATTAATAAAGATTTTTAATAATAAATTTTTAAAAATCTTTTTTATTAAACTTGTAGGGTTTGCTTACTTACGTACAAATTCGACGCCAATTTGTTTATACCATTTTAAAGACTTCTTGACGTAACGATTTGTAACCAAATCAAGCCGAAATATTGTGGACATATCATGCCTTTTAATTAAGGGCCAAAAAGGGTTTCTTTAAACATTCTTTTACATGCAAATCCGTGTTTTTCTGAGAAACGTATGGCGCACTTTTCAAACCACAGTAGTACTTGCCATATGTGGAAATTGAAAGCAAGTTTTTCAGTTTGGATATACTTTAATTTTTTGACGAAATATTTATCATTTGACTGATAAAAATATTGCTTGCCTAAAATTTATGAAAAGCCTTTTTTGTAATAGGACTATTTCAACGACTTCAATTGCAAAAAGATGGTGTAGGTGCTGTGGAGGCTGCTAAGGTAAATGAAAGTGAATTTAAACGTTTGTGTAATTGCTAATGCCTTATAATTTATGTTGTTTTATTAAGTGGAAATAAGCCAGTGTACTAGAAACCAGCAATTGTATGCAAGCGTGTAAAACATTTACGACTCTCGTACAGAAGTTTGAATAACGGTGGAAAATTTTGTTTATCTGAGTTCCTACATTTTGAGTCTTTTTAATACTTTGTAAGAATATCTTTCCATGCTTGTTTGACATGACAATAGACACCTCTATCCAATAATTGTAGAATATGTGAAGAATACTCTAGTAGACAAATCAAGATTATATTATGTTTTTTACACAGCAGTACCGCTTTCAAAGTAATATGAGTTGTACGCCCATCTAATACAAAAATATGAATACCACCAATTTGCTCAGTTTCGGTTATAAATACTTTTTTCAACCATTTAATACGCGTATCGTGTTCCATCCAACCTGATTTTGAAATTGATAATAATTTGGTGTCAACTGGACCACCTCATGCCCAGTCAGGGCGAAAGTTTCTATTGGCTTTGTATATCAGAAATGGTGGT